GGCCTGATCCTCAGTGTCTTCTTCGCCTACTGAGTCGCAGCGTAGTTCGCTCCTGCGCGCTTGGTGCCTAATTTAGATCGTTGCGCTGCTGCTTCGCTCTTGATGGCGTGCGGTTGTGCCGTGTCGCTCGCGGATCAAACAAATATCCCCGCCAGCCTTGGTGTGCGCCCTCCTGTGAGCGGCAGCGAGGCTCGCCTCCTGTTTGCCTCCCTCCCCGCTGGGTCTTTTCTCTTTTCGCCCCTTTTTTTCCTGTGCGCGAATTTAGGCCGCTGCCTGTGTGCATCGTTCCTGGACGCCGCCCAACCTTTTCGCCGCGGTCGCGATCAAAAAAGTATCCCCGCCAGCGCATCCAGAAACCGTGCCCGGGATAGCTGACGGGAGAAGAGGGGAAGAGACGCGCGTAGTGAAACATCGTGGGCAACAGCGGTAGATCGGGATTGTCCTGGTAGCGAATGGTACGGGTGCTGCTGTTGGTGATGTTGCTGCTGCTGGTACTGCTTGTGGTGGTGTTTCCTTGGGGCCTATTGGAGGCGTCTTGGGCGCCTCTTGGGGCCGTCTGGGCGCATTTTGGGGTCCTCATGGGGCGGTCTTGGAGGTTTTCGGGGCGCTATCAGGGCCATATTGGAGGAGATCCGGAGGACCTCGATAAAAAAAAAGGGGAACTTCAATTGGCTTCGCCCCTCGGGAACCCCAAACATCTCCGCGTAGGGCGCTCTTGGGGCGCTCAACGAGTGCTATTGGGCGTTATTGGGGCGTCTTGGAGCTCTTGTGGGCCTTTCTTGGAGCCCTATTGGGCCATGTCTGGGCCATCTTGAGGCCTCGGATGGCCATCGGACGAGGGAAGTCGAGAAGGCAATGAACATGGATGTCCCTTAGAATTTGGACAGATGTTGGCATTTTCGTGGCTTCCCTGGAGCATCTTGGGGGCCATCTCGAGCGACCTTGCCCTATCTTGATCCACTTTGGGAGGTCCTCTTGGGCTCTCCGAGGCCCTCTTGGAACCATCTTGGGCCATTCTGGACACCCCGACCGCTCGCGAAACGCCCCGTCCAGGTCCAGGGGGAGGGAACGCGGAGGGGTACCCCCCCCCGAACGGGAAAAAAGGGAGGGGTGGAAGAGGACATGCCGTAGACCACCTGCGCCCAGACGGCTGGTGGGATTCGGGAAAGTGGGCCGGAAAAATTACCCTGAACGGTCCCTGCACGGCCACCGCGGGCCCAAAGGGTGAAGAAGAGGCGCGTTTATTCGCCCCCGTCATGTTTAGAATAGGCGCAACGGTGTGTTTTCGAGATGCCACCTTGAAAAGGTCAGCAAAGGATCATCGACACGTCACCAAGGGGGGTAAGGACCACAGCTTCCCCAGTGGTGTTGGGAAATTGCCAACATGGATATAGCGCGTGGGCACCAAACCCACGGATCGGGGAGGGCACCGCCCGACACGTCACGCCAGTCAGACCAATGATGCGATGGAACGCGCCGGTTCTGTACAAAAGCGGGGCGCGTCGCCAACACACGCGTTGCTACTTTTTCTCTCTCTCTCTCTCTCTGTTGTTTTTTTGTTTCTCTCTCTCTCTTTCTCTTTCTCTCTCTCTCTCTCTTTCTCTCTCTCTCTCTCTCTCTATATATATATATAAAAAACGTAGCGCCCCGCAATTGCGGATAGGAGTGAGGGGGCGGGCGCGGGCGACGCGGGCGTCGTCGAGCCGGCGGACCTCGTGACCCCCACCGTCCCTGTCGATGGTGCTCTCCTCCTCCTCCTCCTCCTCCTCCTCCTCTTCCTCCTCCTCCTCTTCCTCGACCTCGTCCTCGTCCTCGTCCTCGTCCTCATCGTCATCGTCCTCCTCCTCCTCCACCTCGTCCTCCTCCTCCTCTTTTTCCTCGTCCTCCCTCTCCCCCCGTCGTCCTTTCATCATCGTCCCTCATCGGCCTCCATCATCGTCCTCCCATTGTCGTCCATCATCATCATCATCATCATCATCATCATCATCATCATCATCATCATCACCATCATCAACATCATCATCATCATCATCATCCTCCTCCTCCCCCTCCTCGTCTTCCTCCTCCCACTCCTCCCCCTCTCCTCCTTCTCCTCCTCCCCCTCCTCCCACTCGGCATTGGTTCGTTCAGTGAACGTGGTTTGGGTCGCGGATGGGTCGCGGGCTCTCCACCTCCACCTGGAAGGAATGCAAAAGCAGCCCGACGCAGGCGCCAAACAAATTGGTTTGTACACTGAACGTGGGTTGGGTCGCGGGTGGGCCGCGGGTTCTCCACCGGGAGCGAATGCAAAAGATGCCTGCCGCAGGCGCTGAAAAATTTGATTTGTACCCTGAACGTGGTCGCGGGTGGGCCGCGGGCACTCCACTTGAAACGACTGCAAAAGATGCCCGCCGCAGGCGCCGAAAAATGTAGTTTGTACCCTGAGCGTGGTTTGGGTCGCGGGTTGGTCGCAAGTTGGTCACGGGTTGGGTCGCGGGCTCTCCACCTGGAAGGAATGCAAAAAAAGCCCGCCGCAGGCGCCGAAAATGGTGGTTTGTACCTTGAACGTGGTTTGGGTCGAAGGTGGGTCGCGGGTGGGTCGCGGGGTGGGTCGCGGTTGGGTCGCGGGTGGGTCGCGGGTGGGTCGCGGGCGGGTCGCGGGGTGGGTCGCGGGTTGGGTCGCGGGTGGGTCGCGGGGCGGGTTGCGGGTGGGACGACGACAACAACAAACAACAACAACAACAACAACAACAACAAAACCAACAACAACACCCAAACCAACAGCAACAATAACAATAACAACAACACCAACAACACCACCACCAACACCAACAAGAACAGCAACAACACCACCACCACCAACAACAAAAACAACAACAACACCAACACCAAAACCAACAACAACAAACAACAACAACAACAACATCACCAACAGCAACAACAACAGCACCAACACCAACACCAACAATAACAACAACAACAACAACACCAACAACAACAACAAACAACAACAAACAACAACAAGCAACAACAACACGAATCCGCATCGCGGAATTCCACTTCAGCCACGCACCCAGGGACAGTGAATTACCGTTCGGTCCCCTCACTCCGATATTCCCCAATCGGAGCTTGCTTCTGTAGGGGTCCTAGCGGATATAAAGCTGAGGTGAGGTCGGCGGCCGATTTCGGTGGCTAGGGCCGGGTGCCCGGGTGCCCGGGGGTGCCTGAGTGGCCGATTTCGGTGGCCGGGCCCGGGTGCCCGGGTGCCCGGGTGCCCGGGGGTGCCCGGGTGCCCGGGGGTGCCCGGGTGCCCGGGGGTGCCCAATAGCCCAGTAGCCCTATAGCCCTATAGCCCTATAGCCGTATAGCCCTGTAGCCCTGTAGCCCTATAGCCTTATATCCCTATAGCCCTAATAGCCTTATATCCCTATAGCCCTATAGCCCCATAGCCCATATAGCTCTATAGCCCCGTAGCCCTATAGCCCTATGGCCCTATAGGTCACAGTCCTTCCCTATAGCCCGATAGCCCTATAGCCTGATAGTCGTATAGCCCTATAGCCCTAAAGCCCTATAGCCCTATAGCCCTATAGCCCTAACAACAATCTGATTGGGTTTTTCTCCGGTATCATATATATATATATATGTATATGTGTATATATATGTGTGTGTATATATAAATGAATATATGTATGCATATATATATATGTATATATATACCGCATAGACCACCCTTCGGGTGATAAGGAGGTGAGGGGGGGGAGGGACCAACGTCGCACTCGATCGATCTCACTATCGAACTCACTACCGATCTCACATTCGATCTCAATCGATAGATCTCACACTCGATCTGACTATCGATCTCACAATCAATCTCACAATCGATCCCACAATCGATCTCAAATTCGGTCTCGCTATTGATCTCGCAATCGATATCACAATCGATCTCGCATTCGATCTGACTATCGATCTCACGATCAAACTCACTATCGATCTCATTATCGATCTCACATTCGGTCTCACAATCGATCTCACTATCGATATCACAATCGATCTCACAATCGATCTCGTATTCGGCCTCACTATCCATCTCTCTATCGAACTCACTTTCGATCTTATTATCGATCTCACTATCGATCTCACTATCGATATCACAACCGAACTCACAAACGATCCCACATTCGGTTTCATCATCGATCTCACTATCGAAATCGCTATCGATCTCATTACCGATAGTGATCTCACTACTAACTCAATCGATCGATCTCACAATCGATCTGACTATCGATCTCACAATATATTCCACAATCGATCTCGCATTCGGTCTCACTATCGATCTCACTATCCATATCACAATCGATCTCACAATCGATATCCCATTCGGTCTCACAATCGATCTCACTATCGATCTCATTATCGATCTCACATTCGGTCTCACAATCGATCGCACAATCGATCTCACAAGCGATCTGACATTCGATTTCACAATCGATATCACTACCGATCTCACTATCGATCATCAAAATACAACATCAACATCGTCATCATCATCACCATCATCATCATCATCATCATCATCATCATCATCATCATCAATATCATCATCATAATCGGGACACCGACGGGACACCGGCGGGACACCGCGGGCCCCCGGCCGCCCGGAAGGGAGACATTTGGTCCGGCCGCGCCTCTCAGCACACACGGGACACCGGCCGCGCCTCAGCCACACGGGACACCAGCGGGACACCGGCGGGACACCGCGGGCCCCCGGCCGCCCGGAAGGGAGACATTTGGTCCGGCCGCGCCTCAGCCACAGGAGACTTTCTCTCGCCCGCCCACGCAGCTTCGCCTCGCCCGCACGCACGGCACGCACGAACACGAAACCGAAATCGATTTCCCGGTGGGGGGGCTCTCCGTTCCACTTCGATCTCACCCCCTCACCTCCGATATATGCGCTTCCTCGACCGTGGCTGGCTTGTCATCCCCCTTTGACCGCTCACGAGCGCCCGACAACTCCGCGGCAGGCGCGCAGCGACTGCCGCGCTCGTCGCGGGCACCGCGGCCGCGCTCCTGGCGGCGGCGGCCCCGCCAGGGCTCGCCCCGCCCCCGCGGCCGCGGCCGCGGTCGCCGCCGCTCAAAGGAGGGCACGGTCGTCGGCCTTCGGGGAGGGGGGGGGGGCCCTTGTCGCCACGGGTGGACGCAGCTCGAAACACTGGTGCGTCTGGACCCCGGGGACTGGTCAGGTGGCAGCTTTTCGGGTGCCGTTGTCTCAAGGCGCCGTGCTCCGCGCTGCCGCGCCAAATCGCTGCCGGTGCCCGCCATGAAGAAAGCGACTCATGCGGAATCGGTCCTGGACGTTTTTGTTCGGTTCTGTGCTCCTGAAGGCGGTTCCAGGGCGGGGGTTGCTAAAGGTGTCCTTGGTCCACGGTGCTCCCAGCTTTTCGCTATATTTTGGACCCCCTGGGACCCCTCTGGTCCTGGTGACGGGTGCTCTGGTTTCCGTGAGGCTTCCTGAGAAATCTGGGAAAGAGCGTGTTTTCCCGCTGCTAGTAGAAACTGGGTGGGGGTCACTGGGATTTGCAAACCCGTTCCCCCTCCCCCCTTCGAAAACCGAGGGGGGTCACTAGGGGTTCCAAACCCGCCCCCCCTACCCCCACAGGCCCATCATGAAAGGGAGGCACTACCGGTTCGAACCCCCTCCCTCCTCGCCGCCAGCAAACGACTCCCCCTCTTTCCCCACTCTGGATAGGGGACTGTGGTGTGGACAGCGGTTGGGACGGTGGTGGGGTGGTGGAGAGTGGGGACAGTGGGACAGTGGTGGGGACGCTGGGGAGAGTGGGACCGCGGTGTGGACAGTGGTGGGGACAGTGGGGGCAGTGCGACAGCGGTGGCGGCACTGGTTGGGGGGGGACAGTGGGGAGAGTGGTGGGTACAGTGGAAACAGTGGGACAGTGGTGGGGACAGTGGGACAGTGGTGGGGACGGTGGTGGTGTGGACAGTGGTGAGGGCGGTGGTGAGGACGGTGGTGGGGACCTGGGAGTCGTTTGCAGGCGATGAGTGGGGGGGGAGGGGGTTTCGAACCGGTGTTGACCCCCCCCGGTTTTCCGAAGGGGCGGGGTTCGAGCAGGGGGGGATTTTCGGAGGGGGGGGGCCTCGGGTTCCGGAGGAAGAGGGGGTGTTTTTTCCAAAGCAATGCGGCGGTGGATCACCTTCTCTCAAATTTGGGGACACCGTGGGCCATGGACACTTCTGGCAACACCCGACCTTTGGCTGTCAAAAGCCGACTCGTGATAAAGAGCCGACTCGGGGAAGCCCCCAGGGTCCAGGACATGTTGCCCTCGCCGCAGCCGCACGACCGTCGGCGTCGTTGTCGCCGTTTCGCCTGTCGGCACCTTCGTCGCCGTCGTGGGCGCCGTCGCAGCCTCCGCCGTCGCCGCCGCCCGCCCGCGTGCTCCGTCGCTCGCGAGCACCGCCGCCGCTCCCGCGCCGCGGCATCCCCCTCGTCCTTCTCCGCGCCTGGCGATCGACGTGTCTGTGGCGTCGTTGTCACCCCTCTCTGCCTGCTCCTTGTTGCCTCTGGCCTCCTGCCACCGGCGCGTCCCTTCTCTATCCTGCCTCTTGTCCCTTCCTCCTCCTTCCACCGTCGTGCTCCCTCCTGACTCGTTCTCCCTCCCCCTTCTCTCTCTCCAGAGTATCCAAGACCGTCCTGAACACCCCCACCGCCCCAAACATGAGAATACATCCGAAACCATTCGGAACTGTATGAAACCGTTGGACAGCAAATCCCGTAGTCTCTCTCCCCTTTTGCAATCTCCCCTTCCCTCCTCTCCGCCCAACGGCCCGCGATAGTGTAGAGTTCACACACACATGCACAACACACAACACACAACACACACACAACACGCAGCACACAACACACAACACACAACACACAGCACACAACGAACACCACACAGCACACAGCACACATCACACACCACACAACACACAACACACAACACACACACACACCGCACATCACACAGCACAAAACACATAACACATAATACACAGCCTACAACCCACAACCCACAACACACAACACACAACGCAACACACAACACACAACACACAACACACAGCACACAACACACATCACACAACACACACCACACAACACACAACACACACCACAGCACAAGCCACACAACACACACACACCACATAACCAACCACACACCACACACCACGCTACACGCAACGCACAGCACACGACACACAACACACAGCACACATCACAGAACACACAACACACAACACACGACACACAACACAGAACTTGTAACACACGACACACCACACAACACACAACCCATAACACACAATTCACAACACACAACACACGACTCACAACACACAACCATACACAAACATACACACACACACCACGCACTACACACAATTCACACAACAAACAACACAACGCACAACACGCACACTTCACACAACACACACCATACAACACACATACCACAGCACACAATACACAATACACAACACAAGCACACAACACACAACACCCAGCACTCACATTACGCAACACACAACACACAACACACAACACACAACCCACAGCACACAATACACAAAGAACATACACACAACGCAGCACACACACAACACACAACACACAACACACACCTCACAACACACTCAAACACGCACACAACACACAACACACAGCACACACATACGCGACACTGCCATCATCCTCCACCGCCTCTTCCTCTTTCCCTCCCCCTCCTCTCCCGCAATCTCCCTCCTTCTGCTCCTCCGCCCTCCTTACTGCCACTGGTCCATCCCCTCCTCTGCCTAGTTCCCCCTTCTCCGCTCATCACCTTCTTAGGCCCTGCTCGGATTCATCCTCCGCCTCGGCTTGGTACAATTCACCATGCAGACGTACTGCCACCCCCCTCGCTCTGGGCAGGCTGAACGCTCTGAAGCTCAACGCTTGGTACATGCTTGATCGTTGTAATGGATCTGCCGATGGCGAGAATCACCTCGGGGCTTCACTGATCTCTGATCTATGACGCAGCACACGTCTCTCATACGCTGGAAACCTGGCCCCAGGCCCCCCCCTGGGCCGCAGCACACCAGGGGCACCTGATACACATTGAGTCCCCCTCCCCTCCACACCCCCGAAGCCTTCCCGGAGTTTCCCGACCCCCCTAGAGCTTCCGGGTAGGTTCCACGTAGGTCCCAGACGGGCCAACGTGGCTTCCGGACAGCCGAAGGGGCCCCCAAGACGCCCCAAGACGGCTTTGACCCTCACGAGGGTCCGACGAGGCAACAATCTACCAATTCTTTTTTTGAAAAACGAGCACTTCTACAGACGGCCCCAGAGGCCCCCAGGAGAGCCCTGAAACGGCCCAAGAGGTTCCCATTTCGAGGCCTTCGCCCCAAGAGGACCCCGAAGATCGCCAGCAGGCCCCCAAGGACCTCCCCAAGGGGACCCAAGAGGGCCCCAAGACGCCCCAAGACGGCTCCAAGGGGACCCTCACATCGACACATTCGGCTCTTGGCGCCTCCTGGGCAGCGCTCCGCAGCCCGCTGGCGCCCAGCGACAGGTTTCCATCTTCTGACACTGCTTCGCATTCTCGCGCCTGGCCAGAGCCCTGTTTCTGGCCTCCCCTGCCTCACGCTGCGACCGCCCAAGGGGTGGGAGCAACGGAGGTTCTGCCCAGGGGTGGCCGCTGACCTCGGACTGGTCGGCCTGAAGCTCGTCCAGCTCGTCCAGGTCGACAGGAGGACCATCGTCTAGATTCCAGAAAAGGCATCTTCGCTGTGCACATCAGTTGCACCTGCTCCTCCTGGGCCCGCGTCGCCAGCGTCAGCGCCAGCTAAGGCAGCAGGCTGGCGCTGAAGAACATCTTCGTGATCCAGCCGCGGCCCGTCGCCTAGCGAGGCCTCCAGGGTGGCGCTCCAGCACGCCGCCTCCTCGGCGAGCACGCGCAGGCCTCGCCACATGGCCGCGTCGGGCTCGCCTATGCCAAGTGGCCGCGCCCCTCTTGGCGAGCTCTTGGCGCGCCTCTCCCCGTGCTTGCTGCGCCCAGCGTCCACGTCGGCGCTCGTCGCGTGCCCGAGCGTCTTGTGGGCGACGATTTCGCGCTCGCTGAACTCCGCCCAAAAGGGCCACCTCAGGTGGGGCCGCATGTCGGCGCCGCGGGCCCCTGCGCTGGCGCCGCCAGCCAGCACGCGCAGCGTGTTGGCGCAGTCCAGGTAAAGCTGGAACTGGACCGTCGCCACTACCGTGAGCACGAAAGCCGCGTAGTCCTCGGCGTCGGGCGCTGTCTGGCCTGGCGCAGCCTAGGTGGGCACCGGCACGAACGCAGCCACCTCCAGGTTGCTGAAGTGGTCGGGAGGAGGAGGAGGGGGAGGAAGACGAGGAGGAGGAGGAGAAGGAGGGGAAGAAAGTCTGAAGTGCCCAATGCGACTTCAGGCGCCAATTCGTGCGCTTCCAAGCCAAGGATTCTTCACGCTTCGCGTATCCCCACCAGCCCGTCTCAAAACAGCAACTCTTGCGAAACATGAGGCCTAGTGGTGCCTTCTGGGGACCTCTTGTGGGCCATCTGGGGAACTCTAGGGGCCATCTGGTGGACCTCTGGGGGCCATCGTGGGGGGCTTGTATGAGCGCTGCCCGTCCTCCTGGTGTGAGCCGTTCGGGCTCCGCGTGGTGTGAGTCGTTCGAGGCCCGCGTCGTGGTGTGAGTCGTTCGGGCTCCTCATGGTGTGAGTCGTTCGGGCGGCTCGTCCTGGTGTGAGTCGTTCGGGCCCCTCCTTGTGGTGTGAGTCGTTCGGGCTCTTCGTGGTGTGAGTCGTTCGGGCCCCTCGTCCTGGTGTGAGTCGTTCGGGCTCCTCGTGGGGCCTCTTGGGGGCCTCTTGGAGCCTTTTGGGGCCTCTTTGGGGCTTCTTGGGGGCCTCTTAGGGGCCTCTTGGGGGCCTCTTGGGGCCTCTTGGGGCCTCTTGGGGGCCTCTTGGGGGCCTCTTGGGGGCCTCTTGGGGCCTCTTGGGGGCCTCTTGGGGGACTCTTGGAGGCCTCTTGGGAGCCTCCTGGGGGCCTCTTGGGGCCATCTTGGGGCCTCTGGCGATCTCTTCAGAAGCGCAAATGAGCGCTGCCCCTTGAGAAAGACAAAATGAGCCCAAAACCTTCGTAAAATCAATGATTTTGCTATGAAGGAAGAGGAGCGCGGCCCCCCTCAGGAGGCCAAAATGGGGCCAAAACCGTAGTAAAATCAATGATTTTGGCTTCAAAGAAGAGGATAGGGGCCAAACTCGGCCCCCCCGTCGGGGCCAGAATCCTCGTGAGGGTCGTCGTTTTGTTGGCCCTCCCAGGAGTCGAAAAAGACCCCCCTGAGAACACTCGGGACTCCCTGTCCAGGCCCAGGGGGAGGGGGTAGGGGGAGGGGTAAACCCCTCCCCGAAGGGGAAGAAGGGGGGTTGAGGACAGAGCGGGCTCTCTAAACCACTCACGCCCAAAGGGCTGGTGTGACTTGAGCGCGCGCGAAGCGCGCACGATAGGGAAACATTGTCCAATTCTTTGGGGGAAACTTCTAGCAGATGTGCCTTTTTGACGTTCGCAGCGTCCAAGGCGGCCCACAAGAAGGATCCAAGACGGCCTAAGAGGTCCCCCGGAGGTCAAACCTCCCGCCTCGAAGTTCGAATCTCGCTATTCCCCCCTCGCTCGCCGCCGAGCCTGAGCGAAAACCGATTGGAGGGCTCCTCGGCGAGGACGGCCGCGCGGCAGACGGCCCAAGAGGTCCTCAAAAGGGCCCCGAGACGGCTCAAGGCACCAGGGACCGCCCACGACGGCCCCAAGAGGCCCCCCCGGGGGGGACAATTCGAACTTACATTTCGAGGCCTTCGCCCCAAGAGGACCGCGAAGACTGCCAGCAGGTTCCCAAGGGCCCCCCAGGAGGCCCCAAAGAGGCCCAAAGGAGGCCCCGACAGGCGCCCCAAGAGGCTTCACAATTGCTTCCAACAGGCTGCCCAGAGGCTTCCCCAGAGGCCCGAACAGGCACTCAAGAGGCTTCAGGCCACCCCCGTACAGACTACAGGGTATTCCTTGCACTCAGCAAACGGAAGACACAGGAATGCAAACACTCTGCCCCTTACTCTTCCTGATCCTCTCATCACCCTCCTTCTCCTTCTCTCACCCCCCCCTCTTCTCTCATCCTTACGCCTCCCACCACTAACTCCCTTTTCTCTCGAACTTCGCATCCTCTCTCGTTCATGCGCCTCCACCTTCATCTCCATCTTGATTTCGCATTCTCCCTCGACCAACCCTATTGCATACTCTTCGTGTGTAGCTTCCTCCGTTCCCTCCTCTCTCCCGCTTCCTCCTTCTCTTGCCTCCTGTCTTCTACCTCGTACATTCGCCCTCCTGCCCCCTTCATCTTCCTCCCCGCTTAGGTAACCTCCCCCTCCTATTGATTCATCTCTCTTTTACGTCCGCCTCCTCTCTCCACCGTCCCTCTTCCCCACCCCCTCCTCCGTATGTAGCTCCCGCCAGTTCCCGCCTTCCTCCACTCTACGCGTCCTGCCACCTCCCTCCTCTGCCTTGCCTTCTGGTACCACCATCTTCCGCTCATATACTGGACGCCCGACATCGGGTTGAGCAGGTGGCAGCACACACGGGGCACCCACGGTCCCCTGAGTGGCGCCTCCCTCTCGGAGGCATCCCCGTGCCTTCCCCGAGCTCCCCCCCCAGGAGGCTTCCTCCTGGAGCTGTGCAGAAGTTTCAGGGCGGCCCCACGACGGTCTCAGGAGGCCCCCAGGCTGCCCCAGGAAGGCTCCAACATTATAATGAGGCCCCAAGACGCCGCCAGAGTGCCCGCACAGGATTTCCAAGAGGGCCAGATCAGTCAACAACCAAAAGGGGCCCCAAGGTGTTTTCTGGAGTTCCCCTCTGTTGCCGACGCGCGGCTCAAAGATGGCCTCGGAGGCCCAAATGGCCCCGAAGAGGGTTGCAATGCCGCCATAGGATTACCCAGGACTGCCGCGAATACGAAGCCTCAAGGCGACGTCAGACACCAAGGCGTGCAGTTCCAAGTCAACGACTCGATCATCCCGACACGGCCGCTCTGACGCGCTATACGCTTGGACCCATTGATAGTAGAACTTGAGCGCGCGCGAAGCGCGCGTGATTGCTGGTCCTCACCTTTTCTCCCCCTTCTCGTCCTATTCATCGCCCGTTTTGTCAACATCCCCCTCTCCCTTCTCATATTCCCCTTCCTCTTCCTGCTCCTCTTCTTTATGCTTTGTCTCCGCAAGTCTCGCCCACCTCCTCGTCCTGGTTGTCATCATTTCGCTGCTCCCGCTGCGGCATCTGACTCCCCCTCCCGATCCTCCTCTTCGACTGGTGCTCCCCCTGCTGACGCTGCTTCTCCTCATCCCTCCATCACCTCCGTCTCCCGAACATGTCCGAAAGCCCACCGTTTCCAAATGCCCACCAGCATTCAAACATCTCGTTTATCGAACTCCCTTCCTCGTTCTGATCCGCGATCTTCGCCCTTCGCCTCGATCCTCGTTTCTCCTCGTCCTCCTCCTGTCGCCCTCGATCCTCGATCTTGCTCGGTCCTAGATGTTCGATCCTCGAACCTCCTCCTCCTCCTCCTCGCCCTCCTCGTCCTGCCCCCCCCCTTCCCACCGAACTGCCCTCGCGCAGGTTCACCGGCAGCCACGCCATGGCGCGCGCCCGCGTCAAGGACCCTCTGGGCTCGCTACACGGGTGGGTCAACGACAGGGGGTGGGGGGGGCGAATGCATTAACCCTAAAAGTCAGATAAGGTCAAGGTGCCGATGCCACTGCTCGTCCTGGAGAGCTCGCGTCGCCACAGCTGGCTTCTCAGTGAGGAAGTTCCCAAAGGTTTTCCCGAGTGCATTCTTGGGGTGCCCGGATCGTCCCGAACGGCAGCCGGCGAGCCGACTTCTGATCCGAAAGACCGGGGCGACGGCAGCGGGGGATGGTCTCAGGGAGGGAAGCATCGACCCCCTGACGCCCACTCATCACCGACAGGGGCCCGACGGCCCATGCTGCCCAGGAGCGTGCCGTCTGGGTTCTATCGCCGATATGTTGCCGATGCCTCGCAGAGTTCAGGTTGATGCACTGCTTGAGGTCAAATGAGGCGGCTTGCGAAGCAATGCTTGGGCAGGCCGCCTTCTCGAAGCGCAGTCTAGTCTGGACGAGATTTGGCAAAGGTCTCCACTCTGAGTACAAGAACGTCTGGGTCACTATCGATCTCGAGACGTTTTGCCTCCTGTAACGGGGTCTGTGGCTGTGGATGTCGAAAAGAACCAACCCTCAACTCGCCCACCTGAAACCAGGTCTGCGACGATGCACTCTCCTCCAGGGGGAAGGCCTCTTGGGCCCGCGTGCTGCACAAGTCAGTCCATCGGAGGTCTGGGGGAGGGAGGGGGAGGGGGGAGCGGAGGGGCGAGTAAGAAGGCGAGGAGAAAGAGGAGGGCCCTAGAGGAGGGAGGGGGGAGAGCCCTAGAGGAGGGAGGGGGGAGAGAGGGGAGCGGAGGGGCAAGTAAGAAGGGGCCTCCCAGATGGGGTCGGAGTAGATGGTGTCGGAGGATCGCGCCACATCGCCGATTCATCGCCGATGCATCATCGGGGATGCGGCTCGATGCGGAGCCCGATTTTCTCCACGCTCACGTCGTGGGTGCATCGCCGATTTCGCCGGTGCATCGCCAATGCATCGCCAATGCATCGGCAATGCCGTGCCATCCTCCGACCCCATCTATTCGGATCCCATCGAGGAGGCCTCTAATGACGAAGAGGAGAAGGACGGGGACCCTGATATGGTCTCTAGGTCAAGTTCTTCTGTCCAGACGAGGATGGGGAAAGATCAGGTAATCAACTCATTATAGTAGCGCAGCTACCTAAAGAGGGGGATAGGGTTGAGGAGGGGGCAGAAGGTGGAGGATGGAGGATGAGGAGGGAGGGCCAGAGTCAACCCAGGATCCATCAACCGTGTTGCAATGCACCCTCCTGTCCCAAGTCCTCCTCTCGTGTGAATAAAAACAAACCTTTACTACGGGAAGCGCCAGCCTGAATGACTAGCAACATTTTGAAAAGAGACTGCCTTGCATCATTATTGCAAGTTATAAGGGATGCCGAAAGTGTACCCATAACACACAGCGAAGTGTCCTCGTTTTGAAAGAGGAGCCGCCGCCCCTGCACGAACAACCGTTCAAAAAGTTTACACTCATTGTCGTTCGATTAAATGAAGTCTCAAACGATGGCCCCGTTTTAAAAAGAAGTCGCCCTCCACCCGTGCAACACTGACATGAATTGGAATCACCCTCCATCCGTGCAGCTGTTGTATAGGTGCTCGTTTTTTGTAGTTTGATTTCACGGCTTCTCACGCCGGAGCACCATGCTGCAGGCGGATCCGTCCTCCTCCCTTATTCATTGCACGTGTCAAGACGAATGTGCGAGGCGCTGAGTCGAGAGTGCATTTTTGAAAAGCAACCGTCCTGTGTCTTTGCAGCTGCTGCACACCTTTCATGCGAATACACGCGGCGCTAATGGGATAGCCCCATTTTGAAAGGATCCGCGCTCCGTAGTAATTGATGCAAGCTTTTAAGACGAAATTTGCGTGGCGCTCAGGCGAGCGCTTCATTTTCAAAACGATTTGCCCTCCATCATTGAAGCTCTTGCATCACTGATGGAGGCGAAACGCCCGGACCGCTCTCCAGACACGTCTGGTGGTGCGGCAGGGAGAAGTTATCCTATAAGGAAGTGGTGTCGAGGACATGGTATGAACAGGCAGAGGGCGGATGGAAGATGAAGAAAGGCGGAGGGAATGTGGGAAGTGTTGGAGGATGGGAGGTAGGAGGATGAGGAGGAGCATACGGAGGATGAGAGGTATGCGGAGGAGAAGGAAGGCAAAAAGGATGAGGGTGTGAGGATGTGAGGTTGAGGATGATTATGATGATGCTGATGATTGTGATGATGATGCCGATGATGATGCTGCTGATGATGATGATGGTGATAATGATGCTGATGCTGCTGATGATGAGTATGCTGATGATGATGGTGGTTGTGGTGGTAGTGATTATGCTTATAATGATGCTTATGATGATGCTGATGTTGATGATGATGCTTCTGCTGCTGATGATGACGATGATGATGATGGTGATGATGATGATGATGAGGAGGAGGAGGAAGAGGAGGGGGCGCGGTGCAAGTGAGCTTCTGAGCCGTGCGCTTTCCGCCTCCTCCTCCTCCTCCCCTTCGCTTTCCTCCTGCCCCCCCTGCTTCCTTCTTCTCATGGGGGAAGGGGGTCCTTCTGCCTTCCCGGCTGGCGGCGGATTCACTTCCAACCAGGCCTGCACTGCAGGTGAGGGCCGTCTCCGTTCTCCCCCTGCGGCTCAGGCACCGCAGCCACCCAGTCCAACGGGGGTTCGCTTCCCTGTCGGTCCTGGGTGCTGGCGCAGGGGTCGTTCCCATTACTTGGGAGGCACACGCGTGCTGCACATGCATCCAGAATGGACGAACGGCGGGAGGAAAAACCAGTATGCTGGGTTGTGCTCCTGATGACCCCCGTGGATGCTACGAACGCCTGCTTGCTTGCTGAGAGATGCTGCGTACATGAGAGCGCCCGTTGTTGGGTGGCCTATCTCCCACAAACGCGTCAGTCTACCCTCGGCCCTCTTCGCTCGGGCCTCTTCGCAGAGGGCCTTGACCAAGTTCGACCACTTACACTTCGCGTGGGAAGCACAACGCCTGCAAACATGCAGAAACGGACCGACACACAAGATGTTGTTCCAGCATTTGTGTCGTCCGAACGAACTCATCAGGTTCTGGACACGTCAGCTCGCTCAGAGTCAGAGGAGGGAAGGGATCATCAGGCTCACACATTTCGTGACAAGGGGCCCCAACCGAAGGCCCCAGCGGCCGCATCCGCATGTCGGCACCGCACCCATTCTGGCACACCTCTCACACGCTTCGCGCCCGCATGGGAGCTGCAGTTCCTCCAAATGTCGGCACCACATCGATTTCGGGACACCCCTCGCACGGTTCGTGCCCTCCCCTCTTTCGTCTCAATTACTTCGCGATGATCTCAGCTGCACGCGGTTGGGTCCCTCGCCACGATCATTCGCTGCCCGTCGTGTAGAATACCCTCTCCTTTTCCAGCCTCCTTTCCCGCAACTTCATGCGGGCTGTTGTGCGCGGTCTCACCGGCTGTTCGTGGCAGCGGGGAATTTCTGTACGCAGTCTGTTTCCATGGGCCATGGTCTATTGCTTGGGCTCACCTCACTAGCACAGTTTGGTGAGTCCAGTGCTCCCGATTTGCTTGGTATTCCAATGTGTTCAGGCGGTGGCGCTGGCCGCGCGCTGTGGTGCTATTTGTCAGCTGCTGCTCGTAGTTCTCTTGCGAGTTGGTAGCCAGGTGGTGACGAACATGCGAGTGCAAGGAGCTGCCGTTGCTGGCTTCGGACGTTCGCGGGTGGCAGATTTCTGTCTCAGGCGCCTGACAATTGCAGACTTGTCGACATTACTGCAACAAACCTCTGCGACGACGTCGCCCAGAGGTGCAGAGGTTGTGCGGCGCTGACGGGGATCAGCCGTCCGCAAACATCGAAACATGCTTGTGCAATTTGCCTGGCCCCCCCTCCCTTGGATTGAAGAGAAAGCTGCATCACGAGAAGCTTCCGAGGACGTCACCAGACCATCTGACTGACCCTGGCCGAGCCCATCTTGGGCCCGCGATCGGAGTGTACGGCCCCCTGGCTTGGCCAGGGAGGCAGCACCCATCCTGGCCCAGGATGGGCGCAGCCAGGGTCGGTCAGATGGTCTGGTGACGTCCTTGGGGGCGCGTGACGCCCATGGCGAGGAAACTGGCAGAGCGGCCGACACAAGAGGCAACTCTCACACATCGCCTAACTTCTGCCCCGCCAGCGGGGACGAAATCAAGGCCCCCTCCTATAACGGATTACTTTCCCCCGGTTCCCTCCTATAGCCTCCCCTCACCCTTTCGGGCGTGCCGATCAGCAGCAGCAGTGCCGATGATCCTCAGGACCTGTGTTGGCCCAGTGTGTGCTTAGTTTCCCCAGTCAGCCATACCGACAGCACGCAGCCCTTGTAGGCCCTCGACATGCTGTCTCCGTCGCATGATGAAGGGCCTCTGCGCGCAAGCACGCGCTGGCGCCGACACACGACCCCAGGATCATCGACAGTGGCCTCCTGGCCCCCCGCCCCTCGCGCGCCGGGCGGCGTGCGGGGCCCCTCTCCCATGCCGGTGTGTCCGGCGCGATCCGCTGCGCGCGTCGGCCAGGACGGCGTCACGGTGCTGCAGGACCTCGAGGCCGCCCCCGCCGGCGCAGTCCCAGGGCGGGCCCCCTCGGGCTCCTCGATCCCGGTGTCGAGTCTGAATTTTTTGGCAAAGATTTTCTAGATCTGGGATTCTGGTCGTTTTCCCTAGATCTCAGCCTATGGGACATGTTTTCAAGCCCCAGGACCATGAACAATGGATCTGTTCAAACACTGGCCCTGGGGTCTGGATTTCGGGGCCGCGGATTGAAAACAATCATATCGACGGATGTCTGGGTCTCTGGGGCGTCCCAGGGGGGGGATGCCTGGGGGGGTAATCATGGCCCGGGCCATGGAATCCCCCGGGATTTTAAGTAGGGGTCCTTCTTCTTAAGTCAACACGTCCCTTGGGCCGTGCACGTGCCGCGAGCCATGATGCCATGATTCGCGAACCCCCTTCTTGGACGCCCCCCACTTGGACAGCCCAAAGGGTGTGTGTGTGTGTGTGGGTAGGTTGAGGCGTTTTTGTCCCGCATTTCAAGGTCCAGCGAGCAGGGCGTTCCGGGAGGGAAACGAATGAGCGCTGTCTCCAACACGGGGCTGGGCTTGGCTGCCATCCCTCTCGTTTTCGTCTGTCTCTCTCCATTGCCGCTGCTCTTGCATGCTTCATCGTTCTGTCTTGGGCTGCACGTTGCTTTGATATTGTCAGTGCGTCTTAGCTTGGGCTGGCAGTCCCGAGGCACAATTTTTGTTGCTTTTGGTCCTCTCCCCGTTTTTGTTCTGCGTCTTAAGACTCATAATGGTAGGCACAGTTGGCATGGAAAAACGAATTAAGAGTCAAGAGTCTCTCCGAGTCACGATGGATCGGCACTATCACAAAGTTTGAGAGGCCCGCGCGGATTTTTGGGATCTGTGTTGGACCCCCCTGGCGGCGCCTCTGGCCCTGCCCCTGGCGCTCTCTTCGCTCGCCACGGAGGGCGGCCCAGCGCTGGTCCAAGGACTCCGCGAGGACCATGCCGATTCTGTTCCTTTTGCTCGTACTTGTTCATTGTAGGCCAACGCTGGACGAGTACGACCTCAAAGCGGCACCGCCAGCCAGTCGTCGCGGGCCGCGCCCAAAAGCGTAGGCAGCACAGAAGGCTCGTGAGGCTCGAGGATCGAGGGGCGAGGTTTGCTCAACGAAGGGCCGAGGATCGAGGGTCCAGGGTCGGGCACTGTTGCCCCTCAGCCCTCCAGAGCTGCCGCCTCGGCCTCGCGCCACGCCCGCTTCGGCGCGCGCGCGCGCGCCCGCGCTGGCCCTCCCAGGGCGACGCCGCGGCGGAGGCGGGGCAGTTCGACTTCTCAGAGGCCGCCCAGCGCCCCCTGGAGAGTGCACCCCCTGGATGCGCGCGCGCGAGCCCAGGCGCGCGGCCCGTTACCCGTGGAGGAGGGCAATTACATTCAGGGGATAGGCTCAGGGGGGAAGGTTCGTGGTTCGAGGTTCTCGGACGTTGTCGTTGGTTGTGGGCGGTTCTCCAGCCTCGGTGTGCGTTCCAGCGGCTGCACCTGGCTGAGAGCGGCCCAGAGATCCAGATCGTTCCGAACGGCCGCCAGAGAGCCCCTATCGCCTACTTATCGCAGATAGGGGCCCGGTATCCCGACCCGCCCAGTAGCGTGCGGTTTCGTTGTCGGGGGCCTATTGTCGATCTGTCGGCGATGTACCAATTCCAGATCGATGTTTCTCCCCTGGGCAGGTTCCCCCCAGCTGTACCCCTCATGCACACAGGTCCACCTTGCTTCTCCCTCCCAAGAGGGAGGTAAACGGCCAGAGGAGGAGGAGGGGAGGAGGAAGGTGGATCCTGTGTAATTGTTATATTCCGAGGCTCGTCACAAGAGGGCAGACGGCGACGGCGACGCTGGCAAAGCTCGAATTAGAACATACTGCTGCATACATGTTCTGAGGTCCGCGCCTTCTTGGATCTGCCATGGATCCCCCCGGCGGCGCCTCCGGCGCCGCGCCTGGCGCGCTCCGCGCGCCAGGGAGGGGTCCAGCTCTGATCCGCGAAATCCGCGCGGACCTCTGAATGTTTGAGGTTCGTGCGGTTTTTGTTGATTCATAGCCCTGTGTATTCACGCGGTGAAGGGGACCTGTGATTTTTGTATATATATATATAAACGCATAGAAATCTGCAGGAATGATCGACTTTAAATCAGTAGTAAGTATAGGAATCAATGCAGACAAGTTCGCACGACATTTTTCCAGCAGGCCCTCATAGGCACCCACCCCGCGACCCACCCCGCGACTCATCCACCACCCGCCTACGACCCACCCTGCGACCCACCCGCACACGAGACACCCAAGTTGCTCTGACGAAGCGATCGGCGCCATCGGCGGGCTCAGCGTGTCTTGCGTAAGTCAAGATCGGCGCCTGCGGCGGGCGCCTGCAGAGCCTCGCAGACTGCCGACGACCCCGCCACCCCCTTCATTTTATCCGCAATTGCGGGGGGCTGCGTAGGCCTATAGGTCTGGAGGGCTATTCCATTAGCAATTTGGAAGGTCAGGGCTGTCGAGCCTCCTGCGGATCACTCCACTCGACGTGCCTGGGTGCACGGTTTGCCACCCCAGGGGCGCACGGCTCCGGCACGTGCCCGCCGTGGTCGCCGCGCTGGTAGCGGACTACTTCCTGTCCAGTCAGCGGCCCTCCGGGGCGGTGGTCCTTGGGTGGTGCGCAGATGGGGGTGGTGCGGGGGGTTAGGCTTCCAAGAAGGCTGGGCGGCTTTAGTAGGCGGGGTCCCTCCTGGGAGGGCCCAGAGTCTCCTGGGAAGGCTTCTTTGAAGCCGGGAGGGCCCTTGCCTTCCTAGAAGCCCCCCGCCTTATTAGAAAAGACCACCTCCTCTCGCGCCACCCCGTTGTGCTTGCTGCCAAGTCTTGCGGACCACTGCCCCGAAGACAGCTGTTTTCATATTTCCGAGCCTTCACTGAGGGAGTAAAAGATATTGATACCGCTAGTCCACGGACATCGCCCAGGGCACGTTATGACTAGGATTCCGCCGCGAATGCAGCCGTGGAACGGCGGTATCCGTTTATTTTCCTCCTCCGATCACGCCCGGCGAAGGGTTTGGGGCACGGAGCCCGACCCCGCCTTTCTCTCGGCATGATGGTACCGGCGTTCTTTCTATCCTTGCAGAGCAAGTCGTTGGCAACCGAAGCGCCCCAAACATGAGCGCGCGAAGAACGGTACGGAGTAACATGTGTTGCTATCGGAGACGCCTGTCCCAGTGCGGCTAGGAGGTTATACCACCCACGTGCCGCCGTAATTAGGGGCATGCACTTTTCAGCCGTCCTGGGACAGGCGTCCCCGACGACGCGAAGTTCATGGTTTCATGCTCTAGCGTTTTCTGCCTGCTAATAGACAGCGGACGGTGCGCCCCAAGATGGCTTGTCACGCCCTTCGGTCAACAGCGCCCAAGAAGTGCGCCCAAGACGCGCCGAGCGGCCCAACAGCAGACCAAATAGCTTTACAATGCTCGCAACGTTGCTCGGCCCAATATGGGTCCAGCGGTGTTCTCGGAGCGGCCCACGACAGGGCCAGAGAAGACTGCAAGACAAGCCAAGAGCGCCTAAAGGCACTGAGGAGCCGAGACAGCGTACGTCCAAAGAGGGCCCCAAAACGAGCCAGGAGTACCGCACGATCACCCGAAGACGGCCCAGGAGGGAGATTCCAAGACAGCCCAAGGTGGCATATGGATTGGTAGGGGTCAGTAGCACGTTTTTGTCTCAAGCCACGTTCGCTCAAGGGCGTGGGGTCTCAGCGTTGCTCAGAGACAGCTTGTGCTTCCAGTAGTACTTACTTATGATATCGGTGCCGAGGCCGATTCTTGCTTGGAGGCAGTCTATTCATCAGCGAGCTCTGGGTTCTACCTTCGCCGTGCTGCCACCTGAGCTCCTTGTCACTGGACCAGGATTCCCTGCTCTGTCTACACTTGCAGGAGCGGCGGGAGCTAGTTTAGTTTGTGCCTTGCCAGCAGCCGCCGGTCTGCGGAGCGTGCGTCGGAGACGAAGGCGTAGCATCGGTGATCGCACACTTAGAGCATCTGCTAGAGTTCCGGGTCCGCAGGAGCAATCCGTTTCGCAACGAAGGCAAAAGGCATTGGAGCTCTGGATGTCGTTAAAGCCAGTGGTGCGCGAAGAGTTTGCAGAGTGCACTGTAGTTCTGCCAGATGCATTGGGGATTTTTTTGCAGGGCGATGCGCGAGGGCGCGAATTATTGGCCATTTACACGCCCGGATCCACAGAGTACGAAGAGTTCTATGAGCAAGAAGTCACGCCATACCTTCGTACGCTGACAAAGGAGAACATCGGGCCGCTCTTGTCTTTGGTGGCCACGTTGGCCGTTGGCGATTTAATAATGAACTTTGCGGGCAATGGCGGCGACATTCTGAGCACTTTCCAGCGCTCGTTGGGCTCAGGGTGAGCCATATGAAGAAGGGCAGATGCAATTGGTCCAGCGCGTTCGTATGCCTGATTGAAAAGAAGACGCCCAGAACGATCCGAGAGAACCGAAGAGGGGCCCAGCACGCGCCAGGAGGTCCCAAGGTCCAGCCCAAGACGACCCAAGCCCAAGAGAGCACCAACCTCTACACACACACACACACTACACACAAACACGCACGCACGCACGCACGCACGCACGCAGACACAGAAACATAAACAATCACAGACACATGCACAGACACAGACACAGACATAGATGCAGACACAGACACATACAATGACACACATGCAGACACCCACACACACGCACATACGCACACACACGCACACACACACACACACGCACGCACACGCACACGCAAACGCACACACGCTCACACGCACACACACAACTCAACATAACACAACACAGCACACCACAACACAACACAACACTACACAAAGCAACGCAACACAACGCAACACAACGCACACACATGCACACACACTCACACAACACAGGCAGACACACACACACACGCACGCACGCACGCACGCTCACACACATACACGCACGCACGCACATGCACGCACGCTCACACATTCACACACACACACGCATACACGCACGCACGCACGCACGCACGCACACACACACACACACACACTCCACACACACGCACACACACATACGCACAACGCACAACGCACAACGCACACGCACATGCACACGCACACGCACACGCACACGCACAGGCACAGGCACACGCACACTCACACGCATGCGTACACGCACATGCACAGGCACACGCACACACGCACACGCCACGCACACGCACACGCTCGCGCGCGCGCACGCGCGCACGCGCGAACGCGCGCACAGGCGCACACGCGCACACGCGCACGCGCACGCACACGCACACGCACTCGCACACGCACTCGCACTCGCACACGCACACGCACACGCACACGTTCACGTTTACATTCACATTCAAACTCACAGTCACATTCACAGTCACAGTCACAGTCACATTCACATTCACACTCACATCTCATTCGCATTCACACATTCACGTTCACGTTCACATTCGCATTCATATTCAATCGCTTCGCTCATTCCGCTGGCCCATATTGCATGATCGCTACTGCTTCGCCGTGGGCTCGGGGCCATTGTGGCGCCGCCGAGGAGGAGAAAGATGAGGATGGGGACGGGCAGGGGAGGAGGAGGAGAGGATGAGAAGGAGAGGAGGAGGATCAAGATAAGTAGGAGGAGGAAGAGGAGGGGGCGGAGGAGGAAGCCTCTCGTTGGCATCTTGTGTTGCTTTTGGGGCCAAACAGGGTCGTCGTCACGATGCTTCTTTTGGAGGCCTCCTGGGGTCTTTTCAGAAGCCGTTCGGGGGCGCCTGGGAGGCATTTTTGAAGCCTTCTGGGGCCTCGTGGGGCCTCCTGGGGGCCTTCTGGGGCCTCTTGGGGGCCTCTTGGCGGCATCTTGGGGCCTCTCGGGGGCTCCTGGGGCCCTCTTGGGGCGGAGGGCTAGAGTTTTCGGTTCGTGGTCCCCCTCTTGGGCCCCTCTTGGGGCCGTTTTGGGGCTTTCTGAGCCGTCTTGATCGCCTCTTTGGCCGTCTCGGGGCCCTCTTGGGCCCTCTTAGGGCCCTCTTGGAAGCCTCTTGGCCCGTCTTGGGGCGCTCTTGGAAGCCGAAAAGGCGACTAGGCCAACATCAGTCCAAAACCATCGTAAAATGTATGATTTTGGCCTCTCGGGGCCCTCTTGTGAGGCCTCTTGTGAGGCCTCTGGGAGGCCACTTGGAGGCCTCTTGGGCCGTCTTGGGGTCATCTTCTGCTTCTTGGAAGGCTCTTTGGGCGTCTCGGGGGCCTCTTGGGCAGTCTTAGGGGCCTCTTGGGGCCCTCTTGGCGCGCTCTGACAAAGGGTTGCTGGGCGGCGGGCGGGGTACTTTTGGCCGGGGCCCCCCCAGGGGCCGCCACGCCCGTGCCAACTAGAATCGGAGGTGAGGGGGTGAGATCGAAGTGGAACGGAGAGCCCCCCTACTGGGAAATCGATTTCTGTTTCGTGTTCGTGCGTGCCGTGCGTGCGGGCGAGGCGAAGCTGCGTGGGCGGGCGAGAAGAAAGTCTCCTGTAGCTGAGGCGCGGCCAGACCAAATGGTTCCGGACCGGCGTCTGGTGGCCCGCGGTGTCCCGCTGGTGTCCCGCCTCCGGCTGAGGCGCGGCCGGACCAAATGATTCCAGACCGGCGTCCGGTTGCTGGCGGTGTCCCGCCAGTGTCCCGCCAGTGTCCCGTCGGTGTCCCGATGATGATGATGATGATGATGATGATGATGATGATGATGATGATGATGATGATGATGATGATGATGATGATGGTGATGGTGATGGTGATGGTGATGGTGATGGTGATGGTGATGGTGATGATGATGATGATGATGATAATGATGATGTCGATGATATTGAGGATGAGGATGATGTCGATGATATTGATGATGATGATGTTGATGCTGATGGTAAAGGTGGTGATGATGGTGCCCTGGTGATGATGATGTTGACGATGTTGATGATGATGATGATGATGGTGATGGTGGTGATGATGATGGTGTCCCGATGATGGTGTTGATGGTGATGTTGCTGATAATGATGATGGTGTCCCGATGATGATGATGATGATGATGATGATGATGATGATGGTGTTGATGATCCTGATGATGATGATGACGATGAACTGATGAGATGATGATGAAGATGATGATGATGGTGTCCCGATGATGATGATGAGGTTGATAATGCGGTTGATGATGATGGTGATGATGATGGTGTCCCGATGATAATGGTGATGTTGTTGATGATGACGATGATGGTGTCCCGATGGTGATGATGATGTTGATGATGCGGATGATGAGGTGATGATGATGATTTTGATGGTGGTGGCCCGATGATGGTGATGATGTTGATTTTGATGATGATGATGGTGCCCCGATGATGATGATGGTGATACTGATGATGGTGAAGATGATGATGGTGTCCCGATGATGATGATGATGATGATGATGTTGATGATAATGATGTTGCTGATGATGATGATGGTGTCCCGATGATGATGGTGATGTTGAAGATGTTCTCCATGATGGTGATGAGATGATGATGATGATGATGGTGGTGTTCCGTGATGATGATCATGGTGCCCCGATGATGATGATGATGATGATGATGATGATGACGACGATCATGCTGATGGTGCCGATGATGGTGCCACGATGATGATGATGATGTTGATGATGATTGTGATGCGGTGGTGGTGATGATGATGGTGTTTCGATGATGATTTTGATGATGATGATGATAATGATGATGATGATGATGATGATGATGATGATGATGATGATGATGATGATGATGATGATGATGATGATGATGATGGTGTCCCGATGACGTTGATGACGATGATGTTGATAATGATGACGTTGATGGTGAGATCGATCGTGATATCGATAGTGAGATCGATAGGGCGACCGAATGTGAGATCGATTGTGAGATCGATCGTGAGATCGGTAGTGAGTTCGATTGTGAGATCGATAGTCAGATCGATTGTGAGATCGATCGAAAGAAATAGATCGAGTGAGATCAATTGTGAGATCGATCGGGTGAGATCGATCGAGCGAGACCGATAGTGAGATCGATAGTGAGATCAATAGTGAGATCGATCGAGTGAGACGTTGGTTCTTCCCCCCCGAGCCTCCTTATCATCCGAAGGGCGGTCGTACAGGTATGGTTAACCAGTTACCGGAGATCTTAGCACACCTCTGGCCCGTTGGGCCAGCGAATCTGTATCTGTATAGATGTATTTACATTTACAGTTGCTGGGGTAAGTCCCGGGGGGGGGGCAGACCTGGCCCCATCCCTCCCCCCTGGGGCTGCTGGCCCTCCCTGGGGGCCCGCAGGCCCCCCTCCCCTCTGCCCGATGGGCTTGCAGGTCCTCGTGGCGAGCCCCACAAGGCCCACACAAGGCCCCGTCGCGTCGGCAAATGACCCCTGTGAGGCGTAGATGGCCCCATGAGGGCGCCAAGATACACTCCAAGAGAGCCGAAGAACGATCCAAGACGTCCACAACGACCTCATGCCTGCCCCAGAGGCCCACAAGAGGGCGCCCCAGAATTCGTACATTTTTGACGCGCACGCCTTGTCGGTGTCAGAGCGCCTTAGGCGGTCCAATAAGCCCCCAAGGGGCCCCTGAGAGGGCCCAGAGCGTTTATGATCTAATCCAAGACGCCCCCAGCAAGGCCCCGAGACGGCCAGGAATCCCCCCAAAGGCCCCCAAGAGGCCCCAAGAGCGCCCGAGACTCCATCCAAGACGCCCCAACAAGGCACCGAGACGGCCTGAGGACCCCCCAAGATGGCCCAAAAGAAAGTCTCGGACGGCCTCGGGCGGCGTCATACTGGCCAAGAGCGCCCCAAGAGAGCACTTGAAACCCTCAAGAGGCCCCAAGAGGCCCCCACCAGGTCCCCAAGACGCTCCCACCAGGGCCCCCCAACAGGTCCCTGACGCGCCCAACTTATTGAACTGAGAGGTGTTCTTGCTCTCGCCCGTTGGGGCTCAGACGGCCCAAAGGACACACCCAGACGGCGTCCGACGGAGTCAAGAGCGCCTCAAAAGAGCCCAAGAAACGCTCAAGCGGCCGCCCGAGCTATACAAGCGCCAGGGGCGCCACGAGCGTCAGAAACGTCAGAGGCGTCGGGAGCGTGCTACAGAAGCGTCAGGGGCTCCGGGGCGTGATGGGCATCAGCTGCGTCAGGAGTGTTGGGAGCGCCAAAAGACTCGGGAGCGACCGAGGCCTCATCAGCGTCATGGGCGTTGATGGGCGCGAGGGGCGGCAGGGACTTCAGCTGTGGAGGAGCAGGAGGAGCAGGAGGAGGAGGAGGAGGAGGAGGAGGAGGAGGAGGAGGAGGAGGAGGGGGAGGAGCAGCACCGGGAGGAGCGAGGAGCCAGGAGCGATGCGCGAGGAGGACAACGACCGTGAAGACGAGAGCGAAGGGCATTGGAGCGGGAGGGTCGGAGGAGGAGACGGAGGAAGACGAGGATAGTGTGGGGGAGGATGGGGGCATTCACATAGGACATCCGCGAAAGTTCTCATGTTTCCAAACTTCGACGTTTCAATGAACCTGCCGAACTTCGACGTTTGAGAGGTTTGGAAGTTTGTTTCTCTGCATGCCGCAATGCTCGAACGTTTGACATGTTGAAGTTCGAACGTTTGACAGCCGTATGGCCTTTTAAATTTTCCAAACGTGCAACCTCCGCCGCCTCCTCGGCAGGGGGGCCCCTAGAGGCCATCAGACAGAGGCTCCCACAAGGCTTCCAATGATCTCCCGAACGGCCCCCCGATATTTCTCCAGAAGCCCAGACGATGTCCCCGGAGAGGCTTCCGGGAACGCCGATTTGGACTGCCGGCCCTCCGTCGAGACCCAAACCAGCGCCACAGAGCCCCCCCCAAATTGCGTCCACCAAGCTGCCCAAAGGTCTCCCAAGAGACCCCCAGGAGGAGGACGGGCAGAAAGACAAATTTTGAGTTTCACGGTCCACATGCTCATTGATCTTCTTGTGCAGCCTCGGTGGGATGAGGTGAGGGGGGATGACGATGGGGAGAAGTAGGATGATAAGGACACGGCGGGGGACGATGAGGAGGAGGAGGTAAGGAGGAGGACGAGGAAGAGGAGGAGGAGGAGGAGGAAGCAGGCGACGGCGGCGACGACGACTACTCCATCACAAAGGCCTCCGCGTATGCAGACGGATGCTTAGTTCTCCCTTCGGGAACCAGTGCAAAACCCCTTCGAGGGATCTTGCGGCCCTCATTCGCCCATTTTGGGACCACCTCGTGCCACCTTGTAGGCGTGTTCGAGCCATCTTGGCGCCGTGGCTACACGGGCCTGTATTGGCAGATCCGTGGGCAGCCATTTGGAAGCCATCCGGGGCCTCTTGCGAGGCATATCAGAATCCAAAATTACCCTACGTGCCTATGTGGGCCATAATGCTCCATCTTGGATGCCACTAGTGAGAGTGGGTAAACACTGGCGGGTGATCATCTGGTGGCGGTGACACAAGTCTCAATCCATATAGGAGGAACGGCACCACATGTGGCAATTGAAGATATGCCTTCTCGGTTTGAAAAGTATCAGCTGCGCCTGTTTGAAGACTTCCCCCTGGTACAGAGTGTGCTCATGCAGATTGAGCACAGAAGGCTTGTGTATACGCTCCCCTGCCACTTTGTCAAGTTTGATGGAACCTTCCAGTACACGATTTGCATGTGCGATACTGGCAATACTCTGCCAACGTTGTTCGACGTCTGATGTATTGACTCTAGCTGTGTAGTTGCGAGCGGCGTAGCCTACTCTGCAAAAGGCACTTTTGCTTTTCCTTGAGCCAAGCAGGACGGTGATGAGAGTAAGATGAAGCATGAATGCCCATCAGGGCCTCAGCGCGAAGAAAACGGCTGCGCTGGATTCGGTCTCGTGGGCGGTCGTGGGCGCCTCCTGGGCGGAGGGGCGCCGCACCTATCACCCGCGCGATGCCTCCGGTGCCCTGTGCACCCAAAGCCCAAAGGCTCGAGGCGCGGATGATTGAACCAAAGTTCCTTGAACCCAAGCGGCTACGGAGCCTCCCCTTCCCTTTCCTCTCCCTCCTCCCCCTACCCCCTCCTAGCGCTCGGCCCCCCGCAGTCGGGACTGTCTTTCCCGCTCGACTGATGTGCTGCGTGCGGCCAGGCTTGCACTTGGGTCCCTCCAGGTCTGCTCAATGCTTGCTGCTCGCGCTCGGCCCCTCCAGCTGCCGACGGCGCCGCGCCCTGCCCGTCTCCCCGCCGCGCGAGGGCGACCCCGACGCCGCGGGCGGCGACGAGGTGAAAGACCAGGACGCCAGGGAGAGGGGGATCGAGCACGATGACGCGGCCCCAGAGTCTCCCAAGACGGCCCCACGAGGGCCCCAAGAGAGGACAGGAGGCGCCAAGGACGCTTCATCCGTCCCCAGAAGACTCTCCAGACGGTTCCTCCTCCGAGGCGGAGGAGAAATGGAGGGAGGAGAGGAGGTGGACGAGCAGGTAGGACGAGGAGAAGGTCGACGACGACGACGACGACGACGACGACGACAGACAGACGGGTCTCACGAGGTGCCCTTCCAGAACAACCTCCCGTCCCCCCATCTTCTCGCCCGCAGCATGTGCGCTTCCTCAGCTCAGGACGATTCTGGCCCAACGGGCCTCGGAGGGTCCTGGTAGCCCCGACAAAGGCCCAAGATTTTTCAAAAGTAGACAGCCACAGGCCGCCCCGAGTTGCCTCGAAGTTTCCCCCAGATCGCCCCCTAGACTCCGCAAACATGCCACCAGAGGCGCCAATTGACGCCACGACTGCCACCAGATAGCCCAAGAGGGCTCGAGAATCCAAGAGGTTTTAGCACTCCCGAAGGCTGGAACCGCAGATGTGGCCCTGGGGTGTCTGCGGCCCTGGCCTCAACGTGGCCCTGAGTGCGCTGTGGCCCTGCACCCAACGGGGCCCTGAGTGCGCTGTGGCCCTGCACCCATCGTGGCCCTGGTCCAGGTACGGCCCTGTGCCAGGTGTGGCCCCGGACCGTGGAAACATTAAGGGCCACGCCGTATGTCCGTCCCATCCGCACGGCTCTTCAGGCACGCTGCGCAGCGTCATTGCACGCGTACAGGCACGTGTGCAAGCGTCGCTGTAGCGCTTTACAAGCTCTCCACGAGGGCTTCAGAGCTCTTCAGGAGAGCTGTAAAAGCTCTGCAGAGCTCTCCAGGATAGGTTTCCAGCGTCCCACGCAGTGGTTTAGGCATCGTTTACAGCGCCTCCATGCAAGGTTTCCGGACCCGCTCAGCCCGCCCGCCGCTGCTGCGTCTCCATCGCGTGCCTGTGTGTCCCGCTGCGTCTCCGTTGCGTTTGTGTCCGCTTCGTCTCCGTTGCGTGTGTCTACCGCTGCGTCTCCGTTGCGTGCGTCCTGCGTCTTCTGTTGCCTCTCGATGATATGTGTGTGTGGTTTGCTGTGCTGCGTCTCCGTGGCGTGTGTGTTTTGCTGCGTTTGTTGCGTCTTTCTTGTGTGTCTCCTGGTGCGTTTTCGCTCAGTGCCTGTCCTCCTCTGCGTCTCTGTTGCATTTGTGTCCCGCTGCGTCGCCGGTCCGTGCGTCTCCTGCGTCCCCGTTGCGTCTGTCTCCTGCTGCGCTTCCGTGGCTTGTGTGTCCTGCTGCGTCTCCGTGGCGCACGTGTTCTGCTGCGTTTGCGCTGCGTGCGTCTCCCGCTGCGCATCCGTTGCGTGCGTCTCCTGCTGCGTCACCGTTGCGTGTGTCTCTTGCTGCGTCTCCGTTACGCGCGTCTCCTGCTGCGCGGGAGACGAACGAAAGGGAGACGCAGCGCGCTGAATCTTTTACACAACGAAAGTCTTACACAATGAAGATTATGAAGAGAAGCTCTTACACAACGGAAACATTACATGAAAAGAAACTCATGCATTGGCAACCGTTATACAATGACAACTCTTACACGGAGGGAATTGAAACAATGAAAGTGTTACATAGTGGAAGCTCCTACACAACGGGAGCCCTTACACAATACAAATTACCCTGGCGACGTACCCAACCCCTGCGCAACCTCGGGGCGCAAATAGTTAAGGACAATTTTAAAAGGGGGGCGATGACGGAGCGAGGCTTGCATATGCTTGCAGACGGAATTCGGGAGACTCGCAGGACACTGGCTACAGGACAAGGACTAGATAAAGTTGATTAGTTACAATCCCTGAGCAACCCTAGACACTTCGAAAGCGGAGTCTCAGATCGCAGCCCCCCAGGGACGGCGAGGTCTAATTTGGGTCCGCCCGTGGCGTCATTGTGCTGGGCCCCCCAGCAGGACTCGAAAGTGGCGACAGTTTCGCAGATCGCAGCCCCCCGGGGGGTGGCGAGGTCTAAGTTGGATCCGCGCATGGCGTCACTGTGCTGGGCCCCCCAGCAGGCCTCGAAAGAGGCGACAGTTTCGCAGATCGCAGCCCCCCAGGGATGGCGAGGTCGAAATTGGATCCGCGCGTGGCGTCACTGTGCCGGGCCTCCCAGCAGGCCTCGAAAGTGGCGACAGTTTCGCAGAATGCAGCCCCCCAGGGATGGCGAGGTCTAATTTGGGTCCGCCCGTGGCGTCAGTGTGCTGGGCCCCCAGCAGGCCTCTAAAGTGGCGACGGTTTCGCAGATCGCAGCCCCCCGGGGATGGCGTGGTCTAGTTTGGATCCGCGCGTGGCGTCAGTGTGCTGGGCCCCCCAGCAGGCCTCGAAAGAGGCGACAGTTTGACAGATCGCAGCCCCCTCAGGGATGGCAAGGTCTAATTGGGGTCCGCCCGTGGCGTCACTGTGCTGGGCCCCCCAGCAAGCCTCGAAAGTGGCGACAGTTTCGCAGATCGCAGCCTCCCAGGGACGGCGAGGTCTAATTTGGGTCCGCCCGTGGCGTCACTGTGCTGGGCCCCCCAGCAGGCCTCGAAAGTGGCGACAGTATCACAGATCGCAGCCCCCCAGGGATGGCGAGGTCGAATTTGGGTCCGCCCGTGGCGTCACTGTGCTGGGCCCCCCAGCGGGCCTCGAAAGAAACGACAGTTTTCCAGATCGCAGCCCCTCAGGGATGGCGAGGTCGAATTTGGGTCCGCCCGTGGCGTCACTGTGCTGGGCCCCCCAGCAGGCGTCGAACGTGGCGACAGTTTCGCAGATCGCAGCCCCCCCGCAAGCAAGACAGGAGGAGGCAAGAGGGAGGCGGGACGGGAGGCAGGAGGGAGGAAAGGAGGAAGTGGAAACCACACTGCTCTATTCAAAACGAATGCCCGACCAAGGAGGATTGGGAACCACTGCGCAATGCCAACTCTTATACACTCAGAACTCTTACGCAATTTGAACTACCTATACGGCCGCCCTTCAGATGATAATGAGGTTCGGGGGGGAAGAATCAACGTCTCACTCGATCGGTCTCACCACCGATCTCATTATCGATCTCACTATCGGTCTCGTTCGATCGATTTCACTCGGTCGATATCACAACTGATCTCACTCGATCTATTTCATTTGATCGATCTCACAATCGGTCTGACTATCGATCTCGCAATCGATCCCACTATCGATTTCACGATCGATCTCACAACCGATCTCGCATTCGGTCCCACTACCGATCTCACGATCGATATCACAATCGATCCCACAACCAACGTCATCATCATCCACATCATCGTCGTCATTATCATCAACATCATCATCATCGGGACACCATCCTTATCATCACCACATCATCACCATCACAATCAACATCATCATCACCACCATCACCATCATCGGTACACCATCATCGTCACCATCAGCACCATCACAACATCATCATCACCGGGACACCATCATCATCATCATCCGATCATCGTCATCCCGTTATCATCATAATGCACAACATCCTCAACTTCATCATCATCATCGGCACCCCTTCAGCATCAGCACCATCATCATCAACATCATCATCATCGGGATACCATCATCACCGTCCCCATCATCATCACCATCATAATCATCACCTGGGCACCATCATCAACAACATCCGCATCATCATCAGCATAACCAACATCATCGGGCCACCATCATCAACAACACCATCATCACTTCATCAGCATCCTCATCATCAACATCATCATCATCGGGACACCAAAGTCATCAACATCATCATCATCATCATCGGGGCACCATCATCATCATCATCACCATGATCATCAACAACATCATCATCATCATTAACCTCTTCATCATCAACATCATCTGAACACCATCATCCTCATTTGAACACCATCATCATCATCTAGTCACCATCTGACCATCACCAACACCATCATGACCATCAACAGCATCATCATCATCATCATCGTCATCGGCCATCGTCATCATCAGCTATATCAGCATCACCATCATCATCATCATCATCATCGGAGCACCACCATCATCATCACCATCACCATCACCATCATCATCAACATCGTCAACATCATCATCATCATCGGAACACCGTTATCATCACCACCATCACCATCATCGTCACCATCAACATCATCGACATCATCAGCATCATCATCATCATCATCATTGTCGTCATCATCGTCATCGGGACGCCGACGGGACACTGGCAGGACACCGGCGGGACACCGCGCGGCACCGGCCCCTGGAAAGGAAACATGGTCCGGCCGCTCCTCATCTGGAGGAGACTTTCTTCTCGCCCGCCTACGCAGCTTCCCCTCGCCCGCACGCACCCACACGCACGAACACGAAACCGAACCCGATTTCTCGGTAGGGTGGTTCCCCGTTCCACTTCGATCTCACCCCATCACCTCCGATTACACAATGGGAACGCTTACACAAGGGGAACCCTTACACGATGGAAACTCTTACATAACGAAACAGCAAAATCCTTACATAATGGAGCTCTTACACAAAGGAAGCTGTTACGCGATGGAACTCGCTGCGTCTCTGTTGCGTGTGTGTCCTGCTGTTGCTTCGTGGCGTGTGTGTCTTGCTGCGTCTTCGTTGCGTGCGTCTCCCGTTTCGTCTCTGTTGCGTGCGTCTCCTGCTGCGTCTTTGTTGCGTGTGTCATCTGCTTCGTTTCCGTTCCGTGCGTCTCCTGCTGCGCGGGAGACGCACGCAACGGAGACGCAGCTCAACGGAGGCCCATGAGAGTCCCATAGGGGGGCCAGGGGCAGGGCCACAGATCATCCCTTACGTGTGGCCCTGGGCCACAGTTCGCCACCCTAAGTGTGGCCCTGGGCCTATGGTGGCGGGCCCTGGCTGCATCTTCGGCTGCGCCTGGGTGGACGACTCCATCGAGCACTACGCTTCCTGCCGTTACGTCTCGGA